ATCTAAAATAAGATGTGAGGAGATGGAATAATGCGGATATTTACACAATTAGTTCCTTTTTAAAAAACAGTTAAAATCAGAATCAATATTTTGAGTAATGCGTCAAAAAATTTTAAAATGGTATTCGAAGGAAGACGGAAATATGTGAAAAAGGTAATTATGTACTACTAGTGAATATTATCTACAGACGGGTACTTCCCATTTTTCAGTTGTTTTGTCGCCCAATTAATTTCTTTGACTTGTTGGGTCGATCCCTCACTTCATCGACTTGCTGAGTCGATCCCTCACTTGATCGACTTTCTGGTTCGATCCCTCACTTGATAGACTTGCGGGGTCGATCCCGCACTTAATAGACATGCTGAGTCAATCTCCCACATGATCGACTTGCTGGATCGATCCCCACTTGATCGACTTGCTGCGTCGATCCTTCACATGATCGACTTGCTGGGTCGCTCCCTCACTTGATCGACTTGCTGGTCGATCCTCCACTTGATGGACTTGCTGGGTCGATCACCTACTCCATCGACTTGCTGGGTAGATCCTCCACTTGATCGACTTGCTGGGTCGATTCCCCACTTGATCGACTTGCTGGTTGATCCCTCACTTGATCGACTTGCTGGTTCGATCCCTTACTTGATCGACTTGCTGGTTCGATCCCCACTTGATCGACTTGCTGGGTCGATCCCCCACTTGATCGACTAGTTAGGACGATCCCGAAAGGTAATTATGTACTACTATTACAGACCGTTTACCTCGGTCTGTAATAGTAGTATAGAATCTCTAGTTTGATATCCGTGGAAAAATAGATTGAGATGCAAAGTGACGAATGCATCAACCGAGTGTGTGGCTTGCGTGTCCCGCAAGTACCGCCTCCTCCATCAGGGCTGGCCGCACGACGCTGGGCCTAGTCGTGCCACCGCGCAGACAGAGGGCCCACTACGGGCGGTTGGGTGACGCAACGGCGCAGAAGGGGAAGTGCGGGGGGGCGATGTGTTTTCGTAAATTTCACTTTACGACGCTCCTATTCATCCGATTTGCACGATTGTCACGGCGTTGGATTCAAGAAGCATGTCGCCGTCGCGCTATAAGGCCACATTTTTAAATTTGTTCTCGAAAGTTTGAGACCTAATTTCAAATTCTCGATTTTGCTAGATTTTTAGAAAAAGGTCATCATAGAGTACATTCTATTTTAAAAAGGCGTCAAATGCCGTTTACAAATCGAAAATCGGACCATTGGTTCAAACGTTATCAGTAAAGTAAATTCCCCTGCCATAGTGCTGCGATCTATTGAATTTTCCTACAAGTAGTTTTCGGTGCATTTAGCCTTAAGAACAAACAAAACGTTAAACCAAATATTTAGTTCATTCAATTCAATCAAACCTTAAATGGAAAGTTCATTAAAATTAATTGAACACTAAATTAAATTCTTTATTCTACGCTTTCAGAATTCTTTCAAATTCAGTCTCCACACTGCTCGCTGTGTATATTTAGTTAATGTTCATCCCTGCCTGAAATATGGCATAATATTCTGAGGAAATACATCTTATTGCGCCGAGAGTTTTAGATTACAAAAAAGAATTGTACGAATAACAAGCAAATTCCAACCCTGTGATTCTTGTTAACCTCTCTTTATTAATCTAGGTACTCCGGTCTTAAGGAACGGACACCCAAACCTCATGGCGAGGAGAAGGGCGTTGCGGGGGCGGCCTGACGTAGTAGGTCACGTGAGCCTCGAATATATAAGGTAGTGCACAGAGCCAGTGAGTGGGTTCTGGAGACAGTGGGAGAACTTCGTGCGAATGCACAAATTTGGCGCCACGACGGTGCAGCGGCAAGCAGGGCTCGCGAGGCAAGTCACCTGTTGACGAGCCTGTGGAGGACTTTGTGTCCTTGAGTGACCGCTGTCACGTGGGAGTGATGCTGTGTGCGTGCTCTGAGGTGAGGAGTGGTTGAGTGCCACGACTCGCGTCCGATTCTCAATCGAGTAAGATCGCTCCTGCGATCGAGGCAAACCATCAGTT